GCAAGAAGCATTAAATATTGATAAAAAAAGTAATTAATTGTACAGTTTGGTTGTAAATCACGAGACAAATCTTTTAAGCCTAGTTAATCCATGATCAGATAAAGTTTGTCAAATACAAACGAAACGTGCTACAGTGTCCAGATTACAAAAATTTACAATCTACACAAGGCCCGGCAGAGGAGACGAAGTCTATAGCTGCAGGTACTAGCAGGGAAAACTACAAGTCTTCAATAATACTCCCTCCATACCCAAAAAAACCTGACGTTTAGGACAGGATTGTGGTAACCAAGGAGTGATTAATTAGGGGTTAATTTTCCTTCTTTGCCCCTAATAAATATGGTTGCGCTTGCTCTCTGCAGACGAGAAAGTTAACCAGCTCAAGCGGCTAGTCTTGTGAACTGCATTGTCTGCGCCCTGTGGTCGAATCCCGCTGCCCCACCTTTTTTGTTGCCCATTTCATTTTGCATGGCGATGGTCATTTGCATGGCATGTATTACGCCTGCGCGTGCTTGTGAATGACAAGCAGTTTTTTGCTCGGCGCTTTGCATTTTCGCTAAGCGTGGACATGTGATCTTGCATCTTGTGCTGGGCAATTGTTTCATTTTCGTTTGGCACTTGTTTCATTTTCGTTTGTTGCTCTGGCGCTCGGATAGCACCGACGTTTGAGCTGCTGTGCATTTCACGCCATTGGCTTATTTATGCGGCAACTTGCTTTCTCTCTTCTCCACGCCATTTGCTTGTTTGCTTAAACGCCTCTCTTTCCTTCTTTCTCAACCATCTATTCTTGCCATCTTCTCGCCCACTTAACCGAGCAATGAGTGCTTCTTAATATGCTCTTCCACCTTCTTCAAAACGTCATCGTCAACTTGATTCTAGTACCATCCATTTCAAGTTTGGCCACATCAGGAATATAGAACTCATAATCGAATTTGTCCATTAGATGGAACCACTTTATCGGCATATCGTAATCTTCGTAGAGCGTCCACAACGGCCACACTGCGCGTTCCGCGAGCTTGGTAGCAAGCTTCTCCGAAGACACCGCCATCGTGGAGCGTGCTACAGGCGAGGGCATAGAGACTCGACGAGTCAGCTCGACGGAGTCGGGCACCATGTCGTGAGTTCGCAACCATGTCGACGGAGGCCGCGACCTTTCGACGGAGTCCGGCACCTCTTCGACGTCCCGCTAACGTCTCATCCGAGTCCGCGAACACCGACGCGAGGCCGCGACACTGCTTTCGACGGAGTCCGGCACCTCTTCGACGTCCATGAAACGTCTCATCCGAGTCCGCGAACACCGACGAGGCGCGACGGCGAAAGCACCTCCTCCGCAGCGGACTCCGACGACGGACGCGACGGCGATGATGAGGCGGCGCGGCGAGTGCTGCTGGCGAAAGCAGCGAAAGACGCTGGCGAAGCGCCCGTGACGAAGCGTGTCGAAGCGAAGGCGGCGAGCGGCGCGCGCGCTTCCGGCGAGCGTGTGGCGAGCGTCATGGCGAGCGTGCGGCGCGAGTGATCCATTCGTGGCGGCAAGGAACAGCAACGAACTCTAATAGCGAGTTGAGCGTGGAGAGGAAGATGAAGGAACAGCAATTAATGGGGAGTGAAGACGGGCGGACGGCCGGACGGGCAATCGAAGCGAACGGGCGGCGTCGGCTAGGGGCAATCCAGTCCAAAGTTCACCCTGCCATGGCACAACGTCAAGTTTTGTAAAAACGGGCCAAAGGCACAGAACGTCGACTTTTTTTTAGTACGCCCGCGCAATAAATGGTTCCATGAATGCAGAGTGGTTCCTGGTTGAAAAATCTATGCACACAGATGATGGGGGAGGGGTCGTTTTTAGGGATTTAATGAGGGAAGGAAGTAGAGAGTTAGGATAGGGTGGGCCCGCCACTCATCCATCCCTGTCCATGCTCTATGCTTTGCCTCCTAGGCCTACGGTACTGTAGTACTACTCTACAAAGGAACAAACACACATGCACGTTTATCAAACCAGCTGATGTGAGCAACAAAGCATCCACCGAATCCATGCATCGAAAATCTTCGTCCTCCCTTGGCTTGGTCTTTGCATTTGATTGATTATTGCCTATACTCTGCACTCATCTAGAGTGGTGGTGGAAGTTGACCCAAGGCTGCCTGCATTGTTCGAGGATGCAGAAAGGCTTGTGGGCATTGATGGTCCACGGGAGGAAATCACCAAATTGTTGATCGAAGAAGATGACAGTCTTTCTGGACAAATACAACTATGGGTTTCGTATCAGCCAGCGGATGCTGATTTACTGTGAGAGAACAACACTGTTCCATGGCTGATAAGTTCAAGCGTTCATATTTATGGCTTCAAATTACCAATTTATTATAAAAATACATTTCTTAATTAATCTAATGGTATTAATTTGATATCATAAATATTAATACATTTTAATTTATAATTGGTCAAAGTTAAGATACTAAAGCATGACATTGTGTTAGAATTGCACTCTTTTTCTGGGACGGAGGGGGTATGTATAGCTGATGTTCAGAATACGAATCTGAATGAAACTTTTCCAATTTGAGGGTCATATGCATAAATCTGTTAAGATGTTCATTTATATTTTGAAATAGAAAATACTCGTCAAAGTTACGTTTAGGAGAGTGTGTCGTTGTCAAAAAAAAAACACGAAGTGTTTGGAAACAGGAGATGGTATTTTTCAAAAAACAATTGCTAGTCTATCTGCTTTTGTGCTGTGCTAGATATGTGTGCTGTGCTGTTGTGTGCGTCAATTTGGTCCAACTGTTCCAATAAATACACCTTAAATTGGTGGCAATCTCTATCCTCGCCTTCAATTTCCTCACACCCAGAAATGAGAAAAGGCTACTGCAGACCGCTCCCTCCTCTGAGAGGTAAAAGGACAGGTTGGAGTAGGACGAGTTATTATATTTGGCTCGATAATAATGAGTGTAATGATGAGGGTTATGGATTGCTATATTTGCTTTTCTGTAATCATCATGCACCAACAAAATAGTTGCATGTAGCTTTTCCTAGATATACGGCGTGTTCGGCTCGGCTTGTCTCAGCTTGTTTCAACTTATTCTCTCTCACAGAACATTATTGAATCAATCAAAACCAGCCGAAACAAACTAGTACACAGTAGTCTTGTGTACCAGCCGAACGAGCTGTTCGGCTTTCTTTCTTTTGTTTTTATTAATAATATAAAATAATTATTACAAATAGGAGTACTGTTCAAATATATATCACGTGAACGTTTTATTTCAGTGTCTAATCTAAAACCGCGTGCCAGCATGCATACTTAAGAAGACAGATTATTTCTAGTTCAAGGAAGATTTTGATTTACTATTAAATAAAATAATTTGGCAAACTATGTGCTCAAGTGGTTAGTTTTTTAAGGTAAAATCTATTCACTCGGGTTAAGCTATCAATTGATGTGGGTAATCATATTTTTACATGACTTTATTTTCTTCAGAGGAATTTATAGGAGCAGGATATGTGTACGTGTGTTCTTAGTGTTGATTACGGTGCATCTTCGTAAACGTAAATGCCTGTGTATTTACTATTATTTGAAGAAAAAATGAAATCACAATATGGATTTTTTTGAAAGGAAATATGGAATTGAAAATAGAAACAACAGTGCTAGCGTTCGGACGTCCAGATGGATGCCTGCGTCCGGACGTCCGCGCCTGCACTCCGTCTCTCCCCGCGCACCTCCATCCTACGCTTGCCTATGCGGGGCCTGCGTCGCTCCACTTCACGTGGGGAGTCCCCGCTCGCGCCCCTCTGCTTCTCACGCGCATGCACGCGGCCAGCAGCTGCATGAGGTGTTACGCCAGCATCCATAAGAGGAGGAGGGGCCTATGGATGCCTAGCCGGCTACGAGAGGAGGAGGAGACACCGAGGCAAAGGTGAGCCAACAAAAAAAAAGCGAAGACAGAGATGCAACACCCGATCTATTTTTGAAACATCGGGATGCAACACTTACAACATACGTCTAAAGACAGTTAAAACACATGAAACATGCATTTGAAACACTAGCTGCAACACTAGATCTACTTTTGAAACATCCATATGAAACACTTGCAACATACGTACGAAACAGCTGAAACACTCGAAACATGCGATGAAACACTTGCAAAAAAACACACGAAAACACTTCATATGTGTGAAAACATATGCAACATCCAGATGAAACATTTGCAAATATAAGTCTGGAAAATAAGATGAAACATTTGGAACATACACTCGAAACATACGTGTATAACCACTACAACATGTGCAACATTCCAATCTACTTTTGCAACATCAAGATGAAACATCTAAAACACTTGAAACATACTCTTGCAACATGGGTTTTGCTTGGACGAATGGAGGCACGCCAGCGCGAAGGTCAACGGCGGCGCATGGACCTCGCTGTGCGGCAGCGGCACGACCAACTCGTGGGGGGGGGTGGCGTCCACGAATCTCGTCCCCTCGCCTGCTTGCTGGAACATCCGTCGTGGAAGCTCACCGGCTCAGTGGAGACGGTCGCGGCGAGGAGGCAGCGTGGTGGAGGTGGTCGAGGCAGACTGGGCTCGGTGAGGAATACGGCGTGGAGGAGGCAGCACCGAGGAGGCCGCAGGGGATGGTGCGCACGCGCGGCGGGGGCATAGCGCTGTGGGAGGATGGGCACGACAACGCAGGGAGGAAACGACGCAACGAGCATCGGAGCGCACAAACAAGACGAGCGGATAGTGTCGTTGGGCAAGCGACGCGTGCGAGAACTGTCGTCCGAACGTCTTAACTGTATTATTATCGAAATAGAAATAAGCCTAGAGAACTCTGAAGCTCGGGCCCAACAAAGTCTTTTCCTCGGATGGCCCAGAAAATTAACCATTGGCCGGCCCAACTAAGCAAACCTGCTTCTCTACACCACCCAAGGCCCAATGCACGCGAGTCCACACGCCCCCAACTCCCGACTCCGCTGTCCACTGCCAGTCTGCCACCAAGCAAACCAGCCGCGGCGCCGCCGGCGATGACCACCGCGCGGTTCGTCTCAACCTGCCCCGCCCGCTTACCCTCCACGCCGGCTTCCCCGATTCCCAGAACCTCGGGGTGGGTTATCGGTCGGGTCCCTGCTTTCCCCGCTAGGCCGCTCGGCTTCTCGCTTCGTCTCAAGCCGTCGCCTGCCATGGCCGCCGCCGGCGTCGGCGGCAACGGCTCCCCGACCGCACCCGGAGACTCCATAGGTAGTTCATGTGTTTGATAGTGGAATTTTTTGCTCTCTGTGCTGCTTCGTGTTTGATTTGTTCCTTAGCTGTGCCCAACACTTCATAGTTCCTCTACTAGCTATTTCGACTGGCTGTATTTATTTCACGCACATTTTTTTTTATGATTGCGTTCAAAACCTTCAGGATCTTCTAGGATTGGAGAGGTTAAGAGGGTGACCAAGGAGACAAATGTGCATGTGAAGATCAACCTCGATGGCACTGGTGTCGCCGATTGTAGCACAGGGATACCCTTCTTGGATCACATGCTTGATGTGAGTATACTTTATCTGCGTTGTACAAGTAATTAGAGAACTGGAGGTATCTGTATAGACATAATATGCTTGTGGTTCCTTTCTTTGTGATTTCTGGTGTCCATGGATGAGGGGAATCGGAACATTAGGTCTTACCGCCTTTTTGTGCAAAAGGGAGAAAATCAAAGCCGCGTAGTTCACATGAAAGTATCTTGAATTCTTGATCAAATCCATAAAGTGGACTAATGGAAGCATCTTCTGATAGGAAAAGTCTTTTTGTATACTGCTCTTAACTTAAGAAGATGTTTAAGAGGGCCAGTAGTACAGTCATTTTTTTAGAAAGTGATGTACTGTACCATGAGAACTTGAGGACATCCTGACGCGAAGAACTCTACCACTTTTCTAGTTCCACGTGTTGCAGGTGGTCACTCTTGGGACTGTGCTATTGAGCAATTACTTTGCAAAATGCCTGTTTCAATTTTCCTTTTCCTAGTATGATGTGATCAATGAAGAGAGTGTTACTTCTCTTCCACCGATCAACTAATGTAGTGAGTGGGATGTATGCCTCTTGTTATTCCACACAGGTGTCAGAAATGACTACTGTACGTGAGTACGTGACTAACACTTGTGAAGAGAAATAACTGTAAATACTAAAATACAACCAAAGCCAGAAAGCAAATATTCGTGTAAAAAGGCCACCTATTTCCATTATATTCCCTTTTAAGGCATTTATTTTTGAACAGGCTGCTGCTCTTTAATGGTCTCTATTCTATTGTACTACCTATGTCATGTGGTTCAAAATAGAAGGTTCTAAATGAGTTAGATAAGTATGCTTTTTTCAGTCAAAGTTGGCCATTAACTTTGGGCTTAAAACTTGCAGCAGCTGGCATCACATGGACTCTTTGATGTGTACGTGAAGGCAACAGGTGACACGCATATTGATGACCATCACTCAAATGAGGACATTGCTTTGGCAATTGGAACGGTGATTATTACTTTCCAAGAACATGCCAGTTTTACTTTTACTTCTAGATGCATTTGCAGGGATCATTATTAACTTGAGGTTAGGACATCCATATATTTTCCTTTCCTAACTTTTGCACTAAAATTAACACTGAATCACCATTTTTTTTCAGCTTATGACTTGTGCTGAACCACCTGTAATTTAATTCCATGCAATCAGCATTAGCATAGATAGGCAGATAATCAATGAGATGATCTTCTCTTATTGTCTATGTAGGCACTACTTGAAGCACTTGGTGATCGAAAGGGAATTAACCGTTTTGGGCATTTTACAGCACCGCTCGATGAGGCAGCGGTTGAGGTTATACTGGTAAGTCGTATTCTTTTGCTGTATTTACACACTATAAATGTGCAATTTTGCATTGACTCTATGTGCCATTTATGCATTCATAAGCCTCAAATGCTGTGGGGCTTATACCTGAGTTGCACATGTCGGGCTCTAGTGCTCTACGCTTAAGAAATGCTCAATCACCTAGTTCTTTGTTTTTGGATTTCCATGTATTCATGAGCATATACTATTACTAGAGGCCCGTTCATATGCATTTATTGACACTTAAGCAATAACACTCAGGCTGTTTTTTTAGATTTTTGTTTGTGTATGAAGTTTTTCATATTCATCTGTCACCTACAAATTGAAAAAAAGTACGATTGCTGTTCTGTTAAATGTTATCATAGATTTGTTTGCCATTTTTGGTTCATATTAGTTTAAGTTATTTATTGGACACATCACAATGGTCATGTTGTCGATGTTTTAACTTCCCTTCACTATAAATATGCAAATTTTAGCCACCTCATTTGTTTTTTTAATAACCTGAAACAAATTGTTGGTTATTACTTCCCCCTGTATCCAGGATCTGTCTGGTCGCCCTCATTTAAGCTGTGGCTTAGATATTCCTACTCAGAGAGTTGGCACATATGATACACAGGTAATTTGTGAAATTTGCAAACCTTTTGTCATTTATCAAACATATGTACAGTTGATGTTTTCTTTATGCTTAGCCCCACACACACACACAAAAAAAAAAATCCTTGATAGCCACATCTGAAACATTCATTTCAAGTTCTGCATTCATCCATTTATATTCCATCAACTTTTTAAACACAACACTTCCTGTGTTTACAAAGAAATACCTTTTTGTGAAATCTTAAAAAAAAAACTTGGCAGTCATCATTTATTCATCACCAATGCATTGCAACACTTTCTGCATTGTAAACTCCTGCAGTCAAGTTAGTCAAAGTTTCATTTATTCATTTTGGTTCCAGCTGGTTGAACACTTTTTCCAATCTGTGGTGAACACATCTGGGATGACTCTTCACATCCGTCAGGTACATATTGCTGTCCTCTCAAATCCTATTCTCTTCAAAACAGCTGGATCAGTGATACAATTTTAGTCACGGGCAATTAAGAGCATCATATAGGTTGAGCATAAGGGCAAGATGGTTGAGTTTTCTCTATTTGTTATCGCTAATTTGCATGACCCTGCCCCTAGCACCTGATCTCTCGCTCCATACTGTCTTTTGAAGCTTGCTGGGAAAAACTCACACCATATTATCGAGGCATCTTTCAAAGCATTTGCTAGGGCCCTTCGACAAGCAACAGAATATGACTTGCGCCGTCAAGGCACTGTCCCCAGGTCTGTCTTTCCTTACTGAAAAGTTTATTCAGAAAACTCTCCTTAGTTCATGACCAGTAGGTGAAAAATGCTTCAAGCACTGTTATTTCAAACCACAGTAGTTCAAGTTTTCTACTGTTGATTGATATCTGACATTGGTATAGGATAGCTGGGATTAAAAGTTAACAAACATATGCTCTTCATATTCTACGATCTACACCCCTGCTGTCTGCTGATATGTTTCTTGGTTGTCTCAATGGCAGCTCCAAAGGTGTTTTGTCAAGATCATAGCATCGCAATTTGGAAGAACGCATATCGTTCATTGCAGCACACATCAATGAGGGGACACCTGCAGAGCAGGCAGAATGGCAGTTACAGCTTGGTTTCTGCTGCTTACATTGGGAGCCTGTGTTCACCTCTGACACCAAAGCATGGACCTTGCTAATGAGATCATCAAAAATCAAATGTAGCATTACTCATTATCTGCCTTGTGACAGTGGCATAACGCATCTGCTCGCTACTGCAATCTTATATGCTCTCTGGAGTTACGAGATATCTGAAGACTGAAAAAGGTCTAGACATGCTAAACATACTCCAGGACCAGGAATAATGCTGCGTATTGTATGAACTTTGCAATGTGGATCATCCGCACAAACATAGGAGTATGTAATTGTTTGGCCATTGAAGGGAATAAATTGGTTTTTGTTCGTCCAGTTTCCGCGAGTTGAGAAAATAGGAGCCCTCCAATTATCTGGAAAGAAGGATGAATTGTGTGTGGTTCCACTTAACCCACGAACGTTCACTGAATGCCGAATCAGCGAATTCTCCGGCATAGTTTTGCTGCATGGCCATGTGGCACGCATCAGTAATAGACAGGTGATGTCGCTGCCGGAGTCGACAGCATGGCACGCCGCCTGCTTTATGCAAAGTCTACGACGATCGCGTGTGTAGACTGCTTCCGCTGCCCATGGACACGCAGGCCGGCCGCGCCACTGAAATGGTTCGTTGCGCGTCGTGTGCGCCGGGATTAGATCGTGGCGAACTTACTACGAACTTGGTCAAAATTGAAGTTTAACTTGACAAAACCGAAGAAATGAAGTTTAACTTGGGATCCGATAGAGCCAAAGTGAGTAGAACGGAGCAGAGTACAACATAAAAGCGCGGCTAATGCAATAGTACTGCTAGTTGTCGGGGACCTAATACCGGGTACCCAATGAGATGGAATTAATAACCATCTAACGTTGACGTTTCCGGTCAGACAAGAACGCTACTACGTTTCTTGCCTGAACGATGGAAGATTGGTTCCGCCTCGCCCGACCCCCATGGGCTAAGACTCCGCCTCGCCTGACGGCCGAGGGCTAGCTCCGCCTCGCCCGATGTCCGAGGGCAGGCTCCGCCTCGCCCGACGGCTGAGGGCTGTCTCCGCCTCGCCCGACGGTCGAGGGCTGGCTCCGCCTTGCCCGACGGCCGAGGGCAAGCTCCGCCTCGCGCCCGACGGCTGAGGGCAGGCTCCGCCTCGCCCGGCGGCTAAGGGCTGTCTCTGTCTCGCCCGACGTCTGAGGGCAGGCTCCGCCTCGCGCCCCACGGCTGAGGGCAGGCTCCACCTCGCGCCGACGACTGAACCATGCTCCTTCATAAAGACGAGCACAGGGTACGATAGCACATTCGAGTCAACCGCAGTACCGAGGGCCATGCCCTGCATGCCTGCAGGAAGCTACTGTCAGGATACGACGGGACGGGCGCTTTAAGCCCTTTCCGACCTAACAGAGCCCGAATAATGTTGTAGGCGCCGGTGTTGTAGGCGCGGATACTAACATAGGCATACGACAACCACCACAGTCTAAGAGAGAACTCGCGTCATCAACAGTAACAGGCATATAGTCACTTCCCCGTCTAGTCCCCACAGAGTCATGGCTCGGCACCCTGACACTCCGCACCGTCCGTCGGGGGAGGATGGGACGTGACCACTCGCTGAAACGAAGTCAGAGCCCAGCCCTATCAGGATCAGCGAGGCATGCTATCCCTGGCGTGGTCTGCCATGACAGCAGGGCAGGCTCAAGGGAAAAGGAAGACCCAGCACCTTTAAAGGACCTTCTCTACCTTTGGTTTTTTTTCTCTTTCTCCCATCTGTAACTCCTGCTCCCCCATGGTCTATAAAAGGGAGGGCAGGACGCCCCACGAGGGGGACGATCGATTCCGCACACAACACACAGCCAAGCAGCAACCGAGCTCTTGGCGTCACTTCGACCTTTCCAACAGAGACTTGGGACCTGTCCCTCTCTCGACCGTTTGTACCCCCTACTACGAACCTTTTTCGGTACTAATAACACGAGCAGCAGCTGGACGTAGGGATATTCTGCCCGAATCAGTATAAACCTTGTGTCCTTTAGTACACCATCCGAGCCTAATGCGCAATAATTATAATTTTACTTGTTGGTGTTTGTTCAAAACACTGACAGTTGGAACGCTAGGTAGGGGCCTTTGCGCGTTCCAAATCAGGCCTCAGATGGCTAGCCACGCAATCAGCTGGGTCCCGGGCGCACACGTGCGTTTCGGTGACCTAGACTTCATTGTCACGGTGGGAGGAGAGTTGGCGTTGGCCCAGTCACCATCCAATCTCTCCCCTCCATCGACTTCAACTACGGGAGGCTTAAGCGCTAGCCCGGCGTCTCCCTTGGACCCCAGCCGTCCAGGGAGGACCCGTGCCGCCTTACCCTCTCTCCGGAACACTCCGCACAGAGCGCCCCGACGGCGCTTCTATTCGGTCTCCGCAACGCCGTGGCGACCGTAAGCCACCTTGTGGCACAACGCACGATCCCGCCCCCCCCCCCGCGAACAACGAGTTCGTGGGGATGATCGAAAGCGTCACGGAATCCCTCCACGGCCTCCTCACGGAGGGGCTGGGGTCGGACTCTGGCTCTGACTCCAGCAGGGGGGCCACCACCCCTTCCGGGAATGTTTCATGGTGGGTACCCCCGAGGGACACGTCGAAAGCGTCTCCGCGGAGGAGGCTACCCCGGCAGGCAACCTCAGCGGTGAAACCGAGGGGGATACAGTGGCCCCACCTCGCGTAGGGGTGGAGCAGCTGAGAGCCCGAAAGCGGGAGATCAACGAAGCCAGACAATAGCTTGTTCGGGAATACGCGGAGGTCGATCGGGAGATCGAACGCCGCGGAGACGGTGGGCGCGCACACGCCGTGGCCCGTGACGTAAACCGAAGGATCATCGCCGACGATGAAACCCTTCCTCACTTCGCTCGGGCAAGCCAGAACATCATCGCCACAACGGCCTTGCTTCATGGCCTTCCAGAGGCCGCAACGCCCGAGGATCGTCGGGCCCACCACGAAATTCGCATGCTGCTCGAGCGTACGGCGGCGCAGCAGGCGGAAAGCTCGTTGTCTCAGCGACGCGGGCTCGACACCAACTAGCGCACGCCCTTGGTGCGCCCCGCTAGGGACGCATCAGTCCACCAGGCACCACAAGGCGGCAGGCAGCGCGCTGCGGCCTAGATACATCAGCGTCTCGGCCGTAACCGCGACGCACGCAGCACCCTCAACGCCCGTAGACGTACCTACAGCGACCCAAGAGAAGGAGCCAGACGCGGCTATCACCCTCATCATGGCGGACTTTACGACAACGGCGAGGACACGGAGCCCGAGCCCCGGCCTGCCGGGCCCTCAGGCCTTCGGCTGGCACATCCTCAACGCTGCTTTCCCGCCAAGGTACCGACCACCTACCAATATCCCTAAGTACTATGGGGAGACAAACCCCAGACTTTGGCTCGAAGACTATCGGCTTGCCTGTCAAGCCGGTGGTACGGATAATGATGACTTCATTATCCGCAACCTTCCACTGTTCTTGGCTGATTCGGCACGAGCGTGGTTGGAACACCTATCGTCCAACGCAATCTAGAGTTGGGCGGACCTGAAGGAGATCTTTGTGGGGAACTTCTAGGGCACTTACAAGCGCCCTGGGAACCCATGGGACCTCAAGAACTGCCGTCAGAAGGCCGGTGAGACCCTCCGCGGGTATATCTGGTGCTTCTCCCGACAGTGCAACGAGCTCCCTAATGTCATCGACGCCGACGTGATAGGAGCCTTCCTGTCTGGGACGACCTGCGAGTCCTTGGTTCATAAGCTGGGACGCAAGGGCCCGTAAAACACCAAGGAACTCCTGGACATCGCCACCAGCCTTGCCTTAGGAGAAGAGGCGGTCAGAGCGATCTTCGATCGCCTCGAGGGCAGGGCAAGGCGGGACGAGGGCACCGGTGAAGGTACCTCCAATCGTTCTGCCAAAAGGAAGAATAAGAAGCAACGGCGAGAGGACTCGCTCGTGGCCACTGCTGACCGCAAGGGTGGTCGGAAGCCCGTGGAGGGCACTTCGAACCACTTCGAAAAATTGCTCAAGGGGCCGTGCCCGAACCATGCCTTTCCTATCAAGCATCTGCTCAAGGACTGCAGCCTTATGCGACGGTTCTTGTCCGGAGGCTCCAACAAAGGGGAGCAGGGGAAGGACCCTCCCCCCACTACGGACGATGCCGAGGAGAAGGACGATGGCTTTCCAACACCGGATGGCTGCCTTATGATCCTCGGAGGATCAGCGGCCTACGACTTCAAACGCCGTTAGAAGGTCACACGCCGCGAAGTCTACATGGCCCAACCGGCCACACCTCCCTTCCTCCGATGGTCGGAGTCCGCCATAACCTTCGATCGGACCGACCATCCGGATACCGTCCCGCACCCAGGGAGGTATCCGCTTGTGGACGACCCAATCGTCGACCCAAAGCGACTCACCAAAGTACTAATGGATGGAGGCAGCGGCCTCAACATCATGTACGCCAAGACGCTCGACAAGATGGGCGTCGACCGGACGAACCTCCGCCCAACCCGAGCGCCTTTCCACGGCATCGTGCTCGGGAAGCAAGCCATGCCACTGGGGCAGATCGATCTGCCCATCACCTTCGGGGACCAGTTCAATTATAGGACTGAGACCCTCACCTTCGAAGTGGTTGGGTTCCCTGGAACTTTCCTCGCCATCCTGGGACGTCCATGCTACGTGAAGTTTATGGCCGTGCCCAACTATACATACCTCAAGCTGAAGATGCCAGGCCCCCATGGGGTCATCACCGTTGGCACCTCCTTCCAGCGGGCCTACGAGTGTGAGGTCGAGTGCTGCGGCCACACCACAGCAATCGTCGCCTCCGGGGAACTCGTGGCCCTCTAGGAGGAGGTCTCCGAAGAAGCGCCCGACGTGAAGAAATCAACCGGGTCGTTCGAATCGGCAGAGGGCTTC